CCTGGATGCCATTATTAGCTAACGATAAATCAGTACAGAATCTTGTCAGGCGGGACCTGAGACTTGGGGAGAATGACACATCCTCCTGATTTACTGTGTTAATCCGCAGTCTGGGTTAAATTAAAACCTTTTAAAAGTCATTCCAGAGCGGATTCCGTTTTCTCTTCTCTTCCCCTGGGATAGCAGTGAATGGAATGCAGCAGGTGATAAAACCACTGATGGCTTGTTAAGAGTCAGGCTCTGTGTGTTCAGTTTTCTGATTGGGAGCTGATAGGGGGTTGGTATAGGGGCTATAGGCATCTCCTCTATACCCCTTTACCAGTCCCTTATAGCCACAGGCCCACCTCTCCACAGGGAGAAACAACAATATATATAAAGTATATCTCAGTCAGGCTGTAATGAAAAGGAGGGACAAGAGGGGTAGAGGTAAAATAAACAATATATGTTTTTGAGCTGTATTTTAAGGCCCTGTGTGCATATCCAATGCCTTTCATTAGATGCTTGCACTATACAGTATGTCATGCCATAATACATGGTTCATCTGTGTACTGTGCATCAACAACTATGTTATTACCCTTAACCACTGTGTTATGACATTTTCTAGATGAAAGGAGAGAATGCTAAAGATAGTTTCCAGATCAAGACCAGTAGGACGTGATGTTCTGTCCCCCTATAACCCCACTCCCACCTCCCTAACCACACCATAAAGGATGTTCCACAGGCTAACTAAGACTGATCATTTGGCATGGATGGGCTCCTTTGCACTGGCCCTGCCCCGCTTACCGTGAAATCCTTTTAGTCCTGTCTTTCATCGTCCCCTCTGAGGCTTAGATGGTATTAAAAAATCCTCTTTGAATATGACATGGAATGGAATCTGGGAGGATAAGAGCGAAGGTGAGGCGACTTATCTTGATGTTAACACATGATCGACTGCATCTACTACTAAGTATTCTAAGAATACCAAGTCTACTTCAACATACCGTACATTTCTGTTGTTGTTACATTCTCATTTACAGTGGCTTGCGAAAGTATTCACCCCCCTTGGCATTTTTCCTATGTTGTTGCCTTACAACCTGGAATTAAAATGGATTTTTTGGGGGTTTGTATCATTTGATTTACACAACATGCCTACCACTTTGAAGATGCAAAATATGTTTTATTGTGAAACAAACAAGAAATAAGACAAAAAAACAGAACTTGAGCGTGCATAACTATTCACCCCCCCAAAGTCAATACTTTGTAGAGCCATCTTTTGCAGCAATTACAGCTGCAAGTCTCTTGGGGTATGTCTCTATAAGCTTGGCACATCTAGCCACTGGGATTTTTGCCTATTCTTCAAGGCAAAACTGCCCCAGCTCCTTCAAGTTGGATGGGTTCCGCCTGTGTACAGCAATCTTTAAGTCATACCACAGATTGTCAATTGGATTGAGGTCTGGGCTTTGACTAGGCCATTCCAAGACATTTAAATGTTTCCCCTTAAACCACTTTTGTGTTGCTTTAGCAGTATGCTTAAGGTCATTGTCCTGCTGGAAGGTGAACCTCCGTCCCAGTCTCAAATCTCTGGAAGACTGAAACAGGTTTCCCTCAAGACTTTCCCTGTATTTAGCGCCATCCATCATTCCTTCAATTCTGACCAGTTTCCCAGTCCCTGCCGATGAAAAACATCCCCACAGCATGATGCTGCCACCACCATGCTTCACTGTGGGGATGGTGTTCTCAGGGTGATGAGAGGTGTTGGATTTGCGCCAGCGTTTTCCTTGATAGCCAAAAAGCTCAATTTTAGTCTCATCTGACCAGAATACCTTCTTCCATAAGTTTGGGGAGTCTCCCACATGCCTTTTGGCAAACACTAAACGTGTTTGCTTATTTTTTTCTTTAAGCAATGGCTTTTTTCTGGCCACTCTTCCGTAAAGCCCAGCTTTGTGGAGTGTACGGCTTAAAGTGGTCCTATGGACAGATACTCCAATCTCCGCTGTGGAGCTTTGCAGCTCCTTCAGGGTTATCTTTGGTCTCTTTGTTGCCTCTCTGATTAATGCCCTCCTTGCCTGGTCCGCGAGTTTTGGTGGGCGGCCCTCTCTTGGCAGGTTTGTTTTGGTGCCATATTCTTTCCTTTTTTTATATAATGGATTTAATGGTGCTTCGTGGGATGTTAAAAGTTTCGGATATTTTTTTATAACCCAACCCTGATCTGTACTTCTCCACAACTTTGTCCCCGACCTGTTTGGAGAGCTCCTTGGTCTTCATGGTGCCGCTTGCTTGGTGGTGCCCCTTGCTTAGTGGTGTTGCAGACTAAGGGGCCTTTCAGAACAGGTGTATATATACTGAGATCATGTGACAGATCATGTGACACTTAGATTGCACACAGGTGGACATTATTGAACTAATTATGTGACTTCTGAAGGTAATTGGTTGCATCAGGTCTTATTTAGGGGCATCATAGCAAAGGGGGTGAATACATATGCACGCACCACTTTTACGTTATTTATTTTTTTGAATTTTCATTTCACTTCACAAATGTTGACTATTTTGTATGTCCTTTACATGAAATCCAAATAAAAATCCATTTAAATTACAGGTTGTAATGCAACAAAATAGGAAAAACGCCAAGGGGGGTGAATACTTTTGCAAGGCACATTCAAACATGACTAGTATCTTTGTTCATACAGTGGGGAGAACAAGTATTTGATACACTGCCGATTTTGCAGGTTTTCCTACTTACAAAGCATGTAGAGGTCTGTATGTAGAGGTCTGTTTGGCCCACTCCTCCATACAGACCTTCTCCAGATCCTTCAGGTTTTGGGGCTGTCGCTGAGCAATACGGACTTTCAGCTCCCTCCAAAGATTTTCTATTGGGTTCAGGTCTGGAGACTGGCTAGGCCACTCCAGGACCTTGAGATGCTTCTTACGGAGCCACTCCTTAGTTGCCCTGGCTGTGTGTTTCGTGTCGTTGTCATGCTGGAAGACCCAGCCACGACCCATCTTCAATGCTCTTACTGAGGGAAGGAGGTTGTTGGCCAAGATCTCGCGATACATGGCCCCATCCATCCTCCCCTCAATACGGTGCAGTCGTCCTGTCCCCTTTGCAGAAAAGCATCCCCAAAGAATGATGTTTCCACCTCCATGCTTCACGGTTGGGATGGTGTTCTTGGGGTTGTACTTATCCTTCTTCTTCCTCCAAACACGGCGAGTGGGGTTTAGACCAAAAAGCTCTATTTTTGTCTCATCAGACCACATTACCTTCTCCCATTCCTCCTCTGGATCATCCAGATGGTCATTGGCAAACTTCAGACGGGCCTGGACATGTGCTGGCTTGAGCAGGGGGACCTTGCGTGCGCTGCAGGATTTTAATCCATGACGGCGTAGTGTGTTACTAATGGTTTTCTTTGAGACTGTGGTCCCAGCTCTCTTCAGGTCATTGAACAGGTCCTGCCGTGTAGTTCTGGGCTGATCCCTCATCTTCCTCATGATCATTGATGCCCCACGAGTTGAGATCTTGCATGGAGCCCCAGACCGAGGGTGATTGACCATCATCTTGAACTTCTTCCATTTCTAATAATTGCGCCAACAGTTGTTGCCTTCTCACCAAGCTGCTTGCCTATTGTCCTGTAGCCCATCCCAGCCTTGTGCAGGTCTACAATTGTATCCCTGATGTTCTTACACAGCTCTCTGGTCTTGGCCATTGTGGAGATGTTGGAGTCTGTTTGATTGAGTGTGTGGACAGGTGTCTTTTATACAGGTAACGAGTTCAAACAGGTGCAGTTAACACAGGTAATGAGTGGAGAACAGGAGGGCTTCTTAAAGAAAAACTAACAGGTCTGTGAGAGCCGGAATTCTTACTGGTTGGTAGGTGATCAAATACTTATGTCATGCAATAAAATGCAAATTAATTACTTAAAAATAATACAATGTGATTTTCTGGATTTTTGTTTTAGATTTTGTTTTGTTTTAGATAAAAATTACAGACCTCTACATGCTTTGTAAGTAGGAAAACCTGCAAAATCGTCAGTGTATCAAATACTTGTTCTCCCCACTGTATATGAAAACGTGAGCTGTTTACCATCCGGTCGTTATAATATCTATTTTATTTATTTCCACCACACCCAGCACTGGGTGAATGTAAGAGATGAATACCAGGCTTTGGCTGTGAGTTTCATTGTTGGTGCCAATATTGTGTACCAGTCCAGCCTATTTGGTCTCTAGTTACTGCTGTATAGTATCCAATTAATACAAATATATCTGGCTGGTCCACCTGTTGTGTGTATGTGTGTGTGTGTGCGTGCTTCTGTGTGGGCAATAACATCGTTCGGTGAGCTTTAACAACGCATGGTTATGTCATGTCATGTGCACTGTCTAAAAACAAAATGGCGCCTTCTAGTCTTCTAGCAGTTAACAAACTTGATAAAAAGACACAGTCATATGGGTAAGAACAGTCCTTTACTTTGTCTGTTGAGAACCCTACCACCTTCAATAAAAGAAGTAAGACATCAAACGATTTACACAAAGTACTACTGTCATTTCCAGCAGTAGGGTGCGTCAACAATGTACAGGTGAAAATGAAAAAAATTGACATGTCATCATCAAGTTGCTTTATAATATATTGAAACGGGAATGTTACGAAAATATGTCCAAGTAACCCTAAAAAGCCACGGATATCATATCTATATATTCATATCATAATTAATTATATAAAACAATCTACACAAAAATAGAGCAAATATTTACAGAACAGAGAAAACAATACTATTTACAACAGCCAAAACATTTTCTTTTAAGATTAACAACGAGCAATAGCTCTCTCTCTCTCTCTCTCTCTCTCTCTCTCTCTCTCTCTCTCTCTCTCTCTATCTCTCTATCTCTCTATCTCTCTATCTCTCTATCTCTCTCTCTCTCTCTCTATATATATATATATATATATATATATATATATATATATATATTAGATACTGTATAGCAACACATAGGTTGCTGTGGTGAAATAGGTGGGACCAGGAAGTGACAATTGACAACACAAACTATCACAAAGCAGCCATCTGCAGCAGCTGTTCTTTGAACTGTTGAGCGTGGTGTGAGAGATCTGTGACTTTGTCCACCATGTCCTGCACGGCGGCTGTGTTGGGGTAGTGCAGCGCGGCCGTCTTGGTAGCTCCCACCACTGTCTTCAACAGGTCACACAGCACGTTGCTGGAGTTCATCACCCGGTTGGCCACTTCGGGTGTGGCTGCCTGCCTGGACAAGGTGTCCCCGATGAACACCAGTTTGTGGGCGCTGAGGATGACGAACTTGCTGTGCGCCACGAAGATGCGCGGCGGCTGGCCGGTGCCCACGCAGCCGAAGAAAGCGTCCACGGCATTGAGCAACGTGACAAAGTGCAGCTGGCACTGCTCCGCATAGAAGCCCAGCAGCTGACGGTCCCGCCCACACAGCTGGGCCCCACCTCCTGCCAAGGAAGGGGAGGGAGAGGAGGAGGAGTCTGATGGGGAGGAGGAGGGGCCTGTCGGATGCTGGTGGGAGATCCACTGTGTGATGTCATTCTCCACCGGTTTGATCACCTCTTGCTCCAACTGCTTGAACTGGTTAATCTGTGAAGGTGAAAGAGTAAAGTCTGATTCATATTTTTGTTTCCATTTCTCAATTCTCTTAAATGTACACAACTAGATAAACTGTGTGGTATTATAGAGACGGACATCTCTCATATAAACAATAAACATGATGAAAATACATCCTACATATCAATTTCATCATATTAGTAGAAGTCTACATGGAATTCTCATTCTTTTTCCATAGAGAGCATAACATAATTGGTGCAGGATTACAGGAGTGAAAAGGTGAATCTCCTGTTTTTCATTTTTAGCAGACGCTCTTATCCAGAGCGACTTACAGTTAGTGAGTGCATACATTATTTTTATTTGTCATACTGGCCCCCCGTGGGAATCGAACCCACAACCCTGGCATTGCAAACGCCATGCTCTACCAACTGAGCTACATCCCTGCCGGCCGTTCCCTCCCCTACCCTGGATGACAATTGTGCACCGCCCCATGGGTCTCCCGGTCGCTTACAACAGGCCTTAGACCACTGCGCCACTCGGGAGGGTATACATACTGTTCTATGCTAGTATGTTTGACTGCTCTGTCAGAGTGGGCCAGATGTGTTCTCCTGGCTCTGCTCTATTCTAGGAGGTAGGCACTGTCTCTGAACCCATGCTCGAAAGGTCACCCACTGTGAGTGTTTGAATAATATTGTATGTTCGATCAATTATGTGAACAGTATGACAAGTCTTTTTGAGAGTGGATACATTTCTCTGCCCACATCTTTCAGCTTTATAGAAAACCAATGTGGCAGAGCTACCATTTTGTTGTTTTTCAAATTGAGGAGTGGGCCTTTAACACTGTAAATGTAATGTATAGAAAAAATACTAAGACATGAATATGCATGACTAAGTATGGTGGCCCAGACTGGCCAAAAGAGGAGAGAAGGCATTACCTGTTCCTGTCCCAGCTGCACCTTGCTCTGCTTAATGATGTTCTCTTTCTCCAGGAGCTCCTTCTGCTGCCGCTCAAAGTCCTCTTTTCCCTGAGGAGAAACAAGAGTGTGACTGAGGAGAAGACCAACCAAGGCAGCAGATTCAAACAGCAGAGGGTAGGTACACGTGTAATTCAAAATGCATAATTTTAATTAAACCTGTGCTACTATTCCTGTGCTGTCCCCCATAGGAGAACCCTTTTTGGTTCCAGGTAGGAACCTTTTTGGTTCCAGGTATAACTCTTTTGGGTTCCATGTAGAACCCTCTGTGGAAAGGGTCCTACATGAAACCCAAAAAGGTTCTACCTGGAATCAAAAGGGTTCCACTTGGAACCAAAAAGGGTTCTCCTATGGGGGACAGCCGAAGAACCCTTTTAGGTTGTAGATAGCACCTATTTTTCTAAGAGTGTACTATTAATGCAGCTAGCATGCTCAACACCACCTGATCAGCGTTTCCCTCAAAGGTTAAATATTGTGTCAACACACCTAAGACACTGTATAGGAATGTAGTGATTGACATCTAAGCTCTCACGCATAGATCAGGAATTATATGGTGATGTGAGGGGCTAACATTTTACCTAGCTACCGTTTGTCTTACCTAGCTACCTTAAATTGAATGCTCGACTGTATGTCACTCTGGATAAGTGTCTGCTTAATGACCAACGTTTTATGTACAGTAAATGTAACATCTGTGTGGTATGTCAGACTAGAATCAGAGTCAGAGTGAAACATACCTGCAGATGAACGTAGTCATAGTCCTCCATCCAGCTCTTCACACATTTCTCACTATTGTTCATGTTGCCTTTGTCTTGGTTGGAGGGCACAGGAAAGGGCTTGGTCTGGCCTCCGTAGTTGTCGCTGTCTGAGGACGGGGAGGTGAGAGGGTGGATGATGGCCTCCTCCGGTGTGCTCCCCCTGGGGTAGGAGGACCCTTCCATGGTTGGCGCCCGCCTGAAGAGCAGCTCGGCGTTACCCCCCACGGAGGAGGCCAGCTGTTTGGCGTCATCGGGCACTGTCCTGGACACCATGACGAAGCGGTCCAGGTTGTCACTCTTGATCTGGTGCTTGGTGCTGCTGGAGGTCGCCAGGGCATTGAGGGCCCAGCCGCAGTTTTCCAGGCTCTGGTAGGTCTGCAGGATAATCTGCTGGGAGTCCTCCAGCCTTCCCAGCTGCCTCCTCAGCTTACTGTGCAGGCTGGGGTCCGACAGGGCCGTGGCGTTGGCCACAGCACCCCTGCCGAACACCACAAAGTCCGCCAGGGCTGCCCGCACCCTGTCCAGCACGGTGCGCACCTCGTTGGTGTGGCGCTCCATGAAGGGGTAAGTCCTCCAGTGGGAGGAGGAGGCCAGGGTCTGCAGGGCCCCCACTGAGGCCTCCACGGCCTTCTGCAGGCGGCACAGCCTCTGGACTGCCTGGTCCACATTCAGGGCCAGCCGGCCCTCAGCGCTGGAGACCGTGGAGGTGGAGGTGGAGGAGGTGGACATGGAGCTGCGTGTGGAGCCCGTGCTGGAGATGGACAGGCGGTTCACCCCGTCTGTCACGTCCCCCAGAGCAGGGGGGATTTCATATACGCCCTGGCCCTTCCCCCTGTCCCTGTCCCTCTCCTGGGGGGTTGAGCGGTGCTGGGAGGGGGGCTGCTGCATCCCCCTGGGGATATCATACAGATCGCCACGAGGCCCGGCCCCTGAGAGCTGGTGGGCGGGGGGCGGCACGTCGTAGATGCCTTCGTTGTCGCTGGCAACAGGGCGTTGGAGGTGGTGGGGGCCGATTGGTTCGGAGCTAGGGGGAAAGTCATAGTTGGACTGGGGGGACGGGAAGGGGGAGGGTTTGGTGAGGGCGGGCGGGGGTACGTCGTAGATGCCCTCCTGTTGGTTGTGTTGTTTGAGAGGCTGGGGGAAATCGTAGTTCCCCTCCTGGAGGGCTGGGGTGTTCCGGCAGGGAGGCACAGAGTACACCTGTAGGGACAAGACAAGCATTTGGTTGAGTGCCTCATAGACTACAATAAGGAGTGGAGTAGACAGTGCATCAACCAACTTGCAACAATGAGTCATAGCTACAGAAATACAGCTTACCCATATCAATAACAAGCAAGCTTTGCACCACATGATTTCAGTTAGATATTGAGGAACTGACAGAACTGTTTCGGTTTATACTATATATGCAAACCTCAATGCTCAGCCTCCTATTCCTTCCCCATAACTCAGTATCAGCCTGCATATGGCAAAAACCATAAGCAATAAACATCTGGCATTGTCCAGTGTGGAATATGGATTATGATGTAAATGGCACGTAGCGTGAAAGCGGAGCTGGATAAATAAAAAGAGTGGGCTGTAAGTGATTTCAGTCAGCCTTGAAATCTGCTCCTCTCTGCGAGACGGCCCGACCCCAAACTGTAATTAGGAGCCACGCAAATAACGGGTTCCCACATATTTCACGTTATTACAAACAAACTGATGGCCCTAAGCCTTGGCTGGGTCTGGAACACTGGATCCAGGGTGTAATGTAAGATGGCCCAGTTTGCATCCCAAATGACACCCTATTCTCTACAAAGTGCACTACTTTTGACCAGAGCCCTATGGGGCATGGATAAAAGTAGTGCACTATATAGGGAATAGGGTGCCATTTGGGACATATCCCCAGAGACGTAATAATTTAGTCCTTGACTTTCCCTGCTGGAGTGTTAACAGACAGAGAGAACGCTACTCAGCGAGTTTTGCTCGAACACTATTGGCAGGCAACGCTTTCATTTAGGGAACCGCGAAAATGTCATAAATACGATAATTTGACATTTTATTCATTTATTACCAAGCAATTAAGAGGGATACTAAGGCCTGTATCAATAAACAAATAGTAACATTTTCCGGACCAAAACGGCTACAGCTTCCTTGTGACTTTATTAGAATGTAGAATGACCAGGCTATAAACCTTATATATGCGGTCTCAGTGTGGGTAGTGTTTCTCTGTGTAGTTTGAGTGGTCTCAGACATACCCTTTGCATAGAGGGAGGGATATCATAAACCCCTTGTGTCCAGGAGTCCATCTGAGTGGATTGGGGAACATCATAGACTCCTCCTTGGGAGGGAGAATTGTGATGTTGTCCAGGATAAGGCGATCCCATAATTTTCCCAGGAGGAATGTCATACACCTGGAAAACACAGTGACATTCCCAAATCAGGATACCATAGATTACATTAAATGGCAGAATTAGCGAAGTAAAATACTGAGGCTGTGTCTGAAATGGCTCCCTGTTCCTTATATAGTGCACTACTTTTGGCCAAGACCCTGGCCAAAAATAGTGTACTCCATAGGTAATAGGGAGCCATTTCAGACACAGCCTCAGTGTTTCATACAAAGTAGCTAACTGCATAGGGAATAGGGTGCCATTTTAGATTTTCCCTGATAGATTGACATAAGGATTGCTATGTTATGTGTAGAAGTAGAGACACTGACCCCCTGTGGTCTCATGGGAGGAACGTCATAGAGGTCCTGTTGGTTGTGCTGACCAGGGCTGTAGGCGTACGACTGTCCCACTCGTGTTGGGGTCACCACCTGTCCACACCAGGGGTACACACAAGAATCAACACTATAAGGACCTCTGTCTTGACAACTGGTTCATGACAGTTCCACAACAATGATAGTCTTACAAATTACACACAGTACATTCACCTCATGCGTCCTATGACTTGTTACTGCAGGCCCTGAGTCATTCTGACTAAACCTGCATATCTCTCTCTCGTAGCTCACATAGCTGGGTTGTATTCATTAGCGCACAATGGAACGGCAAGTGAAAACCAGGGCCCTGGTCAAAAGTAGTGCACTATATAGGTCAATAGGGTGCCATTTGAGACGTATCCTCTGTTCCTCAGTCAGTCCTCATGGCGGTAATTATGTCTCAGAACAAATCAGTTCTGACAACCTATGGGCCCTGGTCAAAAGTAGTGCACTATATAGGGAATGGGATGCTATTTGGGATACAGCCACGGAACCATGAAGTAGGGGACTGAGCTGTCATGAGGTGTGGTGCTGCGAGAGAACAGACGTCCCAGAAACGTGGGTGTCACTTTGGCTCCTCAGGAGAAGGGAGGCGAGAAAGAAAGGAAAATACAAAAAAAAACGGGAAAATGCAAAGACAGCTTTTTCCTCCCTTTCCATCACTTTTTCACTCGTAAGTGACCCATTCCTCCACCTCTCTCTTTCCCGTAAGTGTTAATCACCCTCCCCATCTTTCTTTCTCCCTCTTTGTCCCTTCTCTATTCTTCCCCTCTATATCCCAGCATTCCAAGCTCCAGACCTCCTCGCTGCGTCAGACAGGCAGAAGAATGTACGGAATGCTCTTCTCCCTTCCTTGTATCCCGCTACCCCCTCCTCTCTCTCCCTGTCCCTTTCCCCCCCTCCATAGACACACCACCATCACCACACTGGAACACGCAGGGTTCACTGACAGGGCTGGAAAATGGGAAACATACGTATGGCTTCCTGTTCTAAAGCCAGAACGACTCCAGGGCGGTAGCGAGAGGCTGCTTCCCAAATAGAACCCTACTTCATAGGGCTCTGGTTAAAAGTAGTGCACTATATATTGGGAAAAGGGTGCCATTTGGAATGCACATACAGACTACACTGAGATCTCTATGGTCTCTTCTTTAGTCCCTGTGAAGCCATCCTAATACCTCCTATTTTTGAGAAGTAATGAGCTGAATGATGGCATCCATAACCCAAGCATTAGACCCCATCCATCCACCAGACTAAGATTAATGTCTCAGTGGATATAGAAAGAAAGAGAGAGAGAAAGAAAGAGAGAAATAGAGAGAGAGAAATAAAGAGAGATACCGAGAGAGAGAAATAAAGAGAGATACCGAGAGAGAGAAAGAAAGAAAGAGAGATACAGAGAGAGACAGAGAGAGAGAAAGAAAGAGATACAGAGAGAGAGAGAAAGAAAGAAAAACATACAGAGAGAGAAAGAAAGAAAGAGAGAGAGCGAGAAAAAAGAGATACAGAGAGCGAAATAAAGAGAGAGATACAGAGAGAGAAAGAAAGAGAGAAATAAAGAGAGATACCGAGAGAGAGAAAGAAAGAAAGAGAGATACAGAGAGAGAGAGAGAAAGAAAGAAAGAGAGATACAGATAGAGGGATGTTGGAGATAGATATGAAAAGACACAGATGGTAGAGAGTGGAGTGTAAAGAGAAAATGTGTGTAGAGAGGAATGCGTTTCAACCCAGAGCCTGAGTGAAGACTGCTATAGAAGAACACCAACGGTGGGGCCATATGGTTCTCATCTAGTCCCATCTGTAAATACCCTCCCTGTGTGATTTAAGGTGCTCATTGTTGGCATTCCTGTCCATACATACATCACCCTGTAGGACCTATAGACTAAACATTTACTCACTACAGGTTAGTGTGAGTCAACCAAGCTATGACTGACTGAAATAAGCCATGATACTATTATTAAGACTAGGCATGGGAACAAAAAGCCCTGCTACATTCTATTCTTCTCACGCACACACGTGTTTCTTTGGTTGGGTACAAGCTCCCAGGCATGTGTAACCAGACACACCAGCATAGCTTCCCTTTACCCAACGACAAAGGAAAGTCCTGGACTAAAAGGTCCTTGTTGCTTTCTCTGTAGTTCCTATACTCCCTGTGGTGTGGCTTTGTGTGGGAAAGTTGCAGCGAATGTGCATTGCACAAAAGGAGATCTCTGTTTTGGAGTTACCCTCTCTCACACTCAGTCCACAGAGATGGCTGCTCATTTATTTCCCATCTTCACCCACTGTTTACCCAGCAGGATTTGCTGCTGCGGCGGGCTCGGCCGGGGTACTTGGCGCTCCTAATGGTGGTTGGGTAAATATTGACCTGACCGGTTCCTTTACGGGGGTGGGCGGGCGGACGGCGGCATCAGAGAATATAGAGTCTTGGTGGGTGAGTGCTGATGACATCATACAGTATATGCCAGGGGACTGCGTAAACACCCATTCCCACTCAGGTGACAGGGGATGTGTCCCAAATGGCATCCTATTCCCTATACAGTACACTGCTTTTGACCAGAGCCCATAGGGAATAGGGTTCAGTTTGGGATGCAGACAGGCTCTTTAGGTGGATTCCATCATGGACGAGTCATACAGGACTGTGGGTGACTACAGAAGGATCAGGTTCAAAATGGTGTCCTCTGGACCCCAAGGTGCTGCCTGCATTGTGGAGATCATACTGGGTTGTTCTGAGTGACTCATTGTTCTTTCAGCACATACCACATTAACTTTAATGTGCTGACAGATTCTAGTTGGGGCAGGTTGTTTTTTCCCCCGCATATGATTTCAATGGTAATCATTGTGTCATGTTGCCAACAATGACCTCATGGGTTTGATAAATGCATACATAGCCTAGTATTTGAAGTAGATTTAAAATGTCATTGTCAACTGTTCACTACGACTTTATGACCTCTATAAGTTAACCATGCGTTGTGATGACAGTGCTGCTTCAGCCCTGAAAGAAAGCTAGTTTGAGTGTGAATGTTTGTGTAGGTTTGTTTGTGTGTGTGGACGCTGGAAGGTGTGAGCGTAGGTGCAGAAAGGTGCACTAGGTTGTCATTTCACACCTTTTCATTGCTCATTCACACGCTGATGACTTGATGACATGTATCAACGATCCCATCAGGCCTGTCAGTGGTGGCCAGATCACCCTAATGGTGACAATGATGTTGCCAGGCAGCCATTGACCCCTGTTAGAACTGGATGGATGGTGATTCCATCCATCTATCCTTTCCATCCATCCATTCCCCCTTATATCTCCATCCTTGTCCTGACATCACCACTGTGCCCTTACCCACTCCTTTACTGTGCTGACACAGTAAAGCCACCATTCTCTCATATAACTGAGTGGTCCTCTGTAGCTCAGCTGGTAGAGCATGGCACTTGTAACGCCAGGGTAGTGGGTTCGATCCCCGGGACCACCCATACGTAAAAATAATAAAATAATGTATGCACGCATGACTGTAAGTCGCTTTCCCTCCTTCATCCTCCCCCATCCCTCCTTCCCGCTTTCATCTTCCTTCATCCTCCCCCAATTCTCCTTCATCCCTCCCCATCCCTCCTTCATCCCCCATCTACTCATTAGCAACAGTCAACACAATGCTGTTGTTTCAGCTTTCAGTCACTGAGGGTGGGCAGGAGCCACACAGGGAACCACTCTAGGATACATGTCAGTACCAAGGAAATTCAATCCGATGCCACCCAATACACATTATTCATGAGATGACTAATAGCGTGTAGGAGAGTGGTGTTAGTGATGTTATTCTTCAGAACTGTCACTCAAAAGGGAAGGGGGGGTGGCAGAGTTCCTATAATAGCCTTTTAAGAGGGCACATTTAACATTTTAGATTTAGCAGACGCTCTTATCCAGAGCGACTTACATGAGCAATTAGGGTTAAGTGCCTTGCTTAAGGGCACATCGACAGATTTTTCACCTAGTCAGCTCGGGGATTAGAACCAGCGACCTTTCGGTTACTGGCACAACGCTCTTACCCACTAAGCTACCTGCCGCCTTGGCACCTTGGTTTACAGAGGGCACCTGCGCTGCTGAATCATGGGCTACGTCCCAAATGACACCCTATTCCCTACATAGTACCCTGCTCAAAAGTAGTGCACTACATAGGGAATAGGGTACCATTTGGGACACTACCCTTGTCCTCTTGGTTTCAAGGGGGCACCTGCGGTTGCTGAATCACAGTCGTATAGCTTTACAGTGTTATTATAGGTTATTTCTCATCAACGTTCACTTCAGCTGAACACCAATGTTCCCTTCCACAGCTCGGAACAACGGTGGCCTATATAACATGGCAAACTAATTAATGCAGGTAATTAAGTGGCCAATCCCACGAGGCCTCGATCAGCCGTCTCCATGTGACCATGTGGCCAAAGCCAAGTAAAGATTGGGCATTACCAGGGACGTTAAAAGAGCACTCACACGCACTTACGCACACACGCACACTGATTACATCGCTAATAAGGATAATATTTTATTCCCTCTGATCAAAGACCTTGTTAATCTCAAGATGGGCGGAGATTTAATGTGAATATACTAATAGGGGTTGTTTTAATGATGCCACGGCCATTTTCTGTTTACTTTCCAGGAATGTATTCATTATTAAGATGTCCTTCTTGATTTGTGAGAAAGTGAAAAAGCAGGGAGAGGGGAGATGTAGAATGTGACCTACTAGCTGTCCCCTGTCCGCATAGATTTTAAACAGGGGAAAATGTAAGTTACCTTTCAGACAAGCATTTCCTGTCCTCCCTCCATTCTTTCCCTCCACTTTCTTACTCCTTTGCACTGCAGAAATAGCTTCATTTTTTTTTATCTGAACTTTTCTGGAAGGATCTCTCTCTCTCTATCTCTATCTCTATCTCTATCTCTATCTCTCTCTATCTCTGTTGGTGTACGGAGGAAGGACGGGGCCAATGCCTTTTGATACAATGGGTCAAATCGCACAGGCCAGTGATTCGTCACCATGGCGACAATAGAGAGCAGACAAGTGTCTAAAGGAGTGGAGCGCCACAGG